GGTTGGTACACGAAGGCCCGCTTCCAGGGGCGAGGGGTTTGCCGCGGTGCTCAGGTGGACAGCGTCGAGCATCTGGCCTTTTGCCCAGGAGCCCGCCAGTTGTTGTGGAGTAGATCTTGGATCCCGCCCACATCGGCAGACGCTGTGCTGGAGGCATTCTTCTTCATGGATGGGGGCACCGAGACGCGAAAGGATCAAAAGGCCATCCGCCGACGCGCAGTTGCAACCTATGCCTTGCATCGCTGCTACATTAGCGCAAAAACGGGCCGCCTGACGCTGGGGGGCCTGCCAGGCGCCTACGTGGAGTTCCAGCACGAGGGCAATCGCGGAAGACCGGAGCCGTGACACGAAGGCCCTGCGTTGTTTTGCCGCCTGGTCTCCATCAGGCCGGCTGGGCGCTTCAAAGCCAGACCGCCTGGCGCGAGCGCGCTATCGCCCCCTCCTTCTTCCCTCCTTCCCCCCTCCCCTCGCCGCGCAGCGATTGTGAAACAAGGAATGAAACCACATTTTGTTGATGCGATTCTTGTCAGCTTGAGAAAGCTTTCTCCTACACCAATCCGATCATGCGCATATTGCGCGGGAGTGTGACGCAACGAATTTGTCACGAAATTCGGTTCCCAAATGCTTTGCGTCCCCAATTGTTATCCGGGGTTGCTTGGGAGGGCCGGCCAGCGCAGGTGTTCAAGTGCGCGTCGGGCCGGACAGGCCGATTTCCGCCCGCCTGATGCTTTCAAAAAATGGCGGGCAGCGGCAACAGGCGATGTTTGCCTCCAGGTGGTATCGTCGTCCTCCCCTCCTCTGCCGTGCTGCATCGTTCTTTTGCCTTCCCCTCCCATGCTCGTCTCTCGGGCGGTCGCCCGGGTTTTGCCTCCCCTCTCCTCCGGGTCGTCGGTTCCTCCCCTCCTTTGCCCCCTGGTGCTGTCGCTGCTCTCCCGGGTCGTCCACCTGGGGGCTCATGCCTGGATCTGTCATGAATGAAAGCGTTCCCGTTGCTGCGATTCCGTGACTAGAAAGCCGCCCGGAGGCTTACGTCGTACTCCGAGAGAGCATGCTAATGCGGGAGTTACCATGGTCCGTGACGGTGGGCTCCAGGCCTCCACATTGAAGGTGCACGGCGCAATTTCCCTCTACCAGAGCTTAGTCGTACAAGTTGTTATGCCGGGATGTCTTTGTTCCGCCCCTTTCCTCCCTCTTCCCTCCCCGCAGCCATGCCAGCCAAGTGGCTAGCGTGGCGCTGTGGGCATCTGCGCGTCCCTGCGTAGACGGGGCGAGTTCGTGGTCGTTCATGGCCCCTCCAGTCGCCAGGGCAACCAACGGGTTGCTTACGATAATTGGCGCTGGTGCCGGCAGCACGAGAGGGAGGCCATCGTCCGACCGCCCGGTCTCTCCTGCCGCTCCCCATACACGGGGTGCCGCCGTGAGTCCGCGCGCAGCGTTGTGTCCTCTCCCTCCTCCTTTTCCTCCTCCTCCTCCTCCTCCTCCTCCTCCTCCTCCTCCTCCTCCTCCCTCCTTTTCCTGTTCACTCGTTTGACTGACTGTGCCTCGCCTCGTGGGCACTAGTTCGCCGGCGGTCCCCGCCCTTCGATCTGCTCCCCGTTCGCTGTGGGATGTTGTATTCGTGCGTGCGTCTTTCAAGTTCATCCGTTCTCTTTTTGCCCTCTTCCGTCGCCTCCTGCCATTTACTCGTCCTTCTCTCCCCCTTTTCTCGGAAGTGCCTGTGTCCAGTGCCAGTGCGAGTGGCTGAAGGTACGTATTCTCATCATTGCGGTTTTGGCGGGATGGGCGCGGACATCTGCAGTCCAACTCCACTTGTTCGCGTGTTGCTGGAGCTTGCCCGTCGAGGTTGGGGCCCCAGGCTGGCATGAAGAAGCGGTTGTTGGCACGATGTTCATCGGATGTTTGCGCTCTCTCTCTCTCTCTCTCTCTCTCTCTCTCTGCTTGTCCCCCCATCGCTCCAAAATATTTCTACATTGGCATCATTGTCTCTGCTTCGCGCTCCGTTTGGAAGTACTTGGTTCCTGATGCGAGCGGCACGCGCACGATCTACACGGCCAACACCAGAGCAGGCGGATGTTTGCGGAAAGAATGTGATGTGTGTGGCCGTCGGCCCATCCCGCCACCGTGTTTGTGTTGTAGGTCAGAGGCCTGTGGGATGTCCCTGGGGATCTTTTAGGAAACCTATCGGAAACATCTCGGATTCGGTTTTGGGGTGCCTTGGGATATGTCGGGAGTCTCTTGGGAGCCCATTGGAGCATGATTTTGGCCTCTCAGGGGCCTCTTGGTCATGTGTGGAGACTCTTCGAGGCTTATTGGCATTCTAGGGGGCCGTCCTGGGCCTATCTTTGGCCGTTTTGGGGCGCGTTTGGGGGCCTCGTGGGTTGATTTGGGAGGTCGTTTAAACGTCTTGGAGCGTCGAAAGCTAGAAAAGGCGAGAACATCAAAATCTATCAAAAATCCATCGGAACTCAATGGTTTCTTTGGGGGGCCTCTTGGAGACCTCTTGGGGCGTTTTGGGGGGCCACTTGAGCCGTCTCCGGGCCATCGTAGGCGTCTTAGGGCGATATTTGGGCGACCCCGTGCCATTTTGGACTGTCTTTAGGGCCTCTGGGGCCCTTATAGGGGCATTGGGGCCTTTAGGAAAGTCGTGCGAGGCAGCCCAGCAGCGAGGGGACCTCCCAGAAGAGTTGAGATGTTGGGCACCCGGCTTGAATTTGTTTCACTCAGTGCTGCACACAGTGTATAGGAAAGTCTAGACGCATGGGGAGCAATCCACTTCGTACCTAGAGGCACGATGGCGCATGTGGATATACAAGTATACGTACATGCATACATACATACATACATACATACACGTTCTATCTAGACACATTCATGTGAGTATGTTACATTGGGGCAAGCAATATGCATGTTTAGGCATGAGTGTGTTTAGAGACATGTCTGGAAACAGGCATGTTCTCCCAGCAGTGTTTATACGTAGGGCATCTTACGTGTGCTCTGAGCAACTGCGCCGTGTGGTTGGTGTGGCGGCTACGTGGCCGCCGCCGCTGCCCCGTCGCCGCCTCGCCGCCGCCCGTCATCTAGGCCGTGTGGTCGGTCTGGCGGCTATGGGTCTGGCGACTATGTGGCCGCCGTCCGCCGCCACAGTCGCAGCCTCGTCGCCGCCCGTCGCCTCGGCCGCGTGGTCGGTCTGGCGGCTATGTGGTCGCCGTCGCCGCGTCGTCGCCGCCTCATCGCCGCCCGTCGCCGCCTTTGGACTGCACCGCGTAGACTGCACGAAACAAATCGCGCCTGCGGTGCGTTAATTTTGCTCAGTGGCAATGTATGTATGTCTGCGTATATATATATATATATATTTATACATACTGAACCACTTATACCATCCTTTCCAAAAAGGAATGAGGATCTACCACCCCCCACCCTCTCAGGGTTAACGGGACACCGTTTTTGTTCATGTTGTGTTCCGCATCTGTTGTTGCACATTCGTCCACCCTAAAGATGATTCCGTACCATCCTTGGCAGCAGTTCGGTTATGGACCCCCCCTTTCACTTGGTCGGTTAGTCGTATGCGCGCGCACTCTCAAAATCCGTAGTTTTCAAAAGTCCCCTGCAACAGGATGGGACGCACGCGCCGTCGCGCGCGCATGCCGAAATCTCTACAAAACCGCAGGTGTTGCGTGGGTTTCAAAATCGAGCGTGGGAATAATGTAAAAACACACGCATCGGGTTTCGCAACTTCCCCCCCGAAGCAAATAAATGCGCGCGCGATCTATCGAATTTTTCAGAAAACATACGTATGTTTTTGAACATGTTCATCAGATTCGGCCAAACGGGGCCCTCGCGTGCGCATGTCGACATCATTCGAACGCCCTTGCGCGTGAGTTGGGTGGGGGTACGATCCCTGTCAAATCATACCATGCGGGCCACTCGCTCGCGTCGGCCGCGCGCGCATGTCGAAATCCTTCCAACAACTTCATCACCGACGCGTGGAAATCACCATCTTCATCTGCGTGATCAGCAGCGGAGCCGTCATTGCCCTTGCCGTCGTCTTGGCCAATCGGGTCACCAGCATCGCTGCTATCATCATCGTGTCTGCCGATCTCGACGTCATCATGGGCTCACGGACTCGCACTGGTGTGCCCGCGCGTCACCGCGGCCGGCGAAACGTGCTGGGAACTCCCCAGCGGTCAGCGCCACCGCGGCCGCGTCCGTCGCGACAGACTAGTTGACCGCTCTGCGCGCGAGCCTGTGCGCGCTAGCGCGGCCGCTTCATAAACCAAGTTAGGGCGGATGGGTGGGACGATTGCGCGAACAATGGAGTTGGCAATTCGCTACTAGCATCAATTGCACACTATCGATTGCACCACAAGAGTGCGCAACCTATTTATATATATACACACACGCGGCACCGCCACACAAATGGTAAACTATTGGTTACGCAAGTATATTGCACCAAGTCGGTTACACAACATCTGTGGCACAATCACGTAGACTGCACATAACTTATACACGTATACGCATATAAATGGATAAGTATGCATATACATATATATATATATATATATATATATTCATATGTCAATGTATATGTTTATGCACACCGCACCACGGCGATTACGCCGCATAGAGTGCACCGTAACGATTGCAGCGCATCGGTTGAACGAATTGTTGCTTTGCTTGCGGCGCGCCCTATGACCGTTCACACATACATTGCACCCCGTGTACGGCACAACATAAATTGCATTATGTATACTGCACAACCGGTATTTGCACAACAGAATTTGAATTGCACACATAACATAGCCTGCACCACGTTGATTGCTATAACACACGGTTTAGGGCCCGCGCTGGCTAACATGTTCAAATGTGCACATACACGTGTACATATATATATATATATGTGTATATGTATATGTACACATACAGATGTATTCCCATCTCGCCCATCCCGCCCTACCAAGGGCACGCCAGTGGGAATAGGATTTCGTTCAGCTATGCTCGAGGTCCTGGTCTCCGCCATGCGCTGGGGCCGGGTGGTCAGCCACGAATCCGTCATGGCGAGGGCGGAGGAACAGAGCGAGGCCAAACTGCGCAGGCAGGCTCAGAGGCAGATCCTCGAAGCGGTCAAGCAGAGTTCCCGCCTGCTGTTGGTGGCGGTGGTGATCTACGGGAGCGGAAGGACGCCCCTGGGGGAGACATACCCATACCCGCGGGTGCGCGGTCTGGCCCCCGACATGCTGGCGCAGTGAAAAAAGTTCACGACGGTAGGTGTTGGCCGTGTTCGGCCTCCTGGGGCCTTAGGACCGTCAAAAAAAGGGCCGGGCTAAGATACCGACCCCGGTGAAAGGGCCAGGACTTCCGCTGGAAGTCCCCAGCCTTTTCCCGGTTCCCGGCGAGAACTTCGCATTGAAAAAGTCAGGGCGTCGGATGTCTAAAAGGTTTTTTTCGGCCGCGACCCCATGGATGCAAGTTGGCCTTGCGCGGATGCTCCGCGCGGATCCGCGCCCATGGAATTCCGCATCCTCTGAGTCACGCCTTCGGTGCCCAGACCGCCGGGGGGGAGGGGGGCGCGGATGCGGACGTGTTCCGCTGCTTCCGCGAGGCTGTTCGAGCTCGTGCTGCGCTCCCTAAATAGCTGCCCGTGGCTCTGGCGCGATGGCAAGCAGCCGCAGGAGAGCGTTTTTTTTTCCCTTGGTGGTCACAGGCGTGACTGGGGGGAGGGGGGGATGAGGTCAGTCAGCTCAGGATTCGCATCGGCGCTGTTTGGGAACGCGCACGGATGGGAACTTCCCAGGCGGCGCCGACGCGGATCGGGACGTGACCTGGGGGGGAAAGGGGGAGAGTTCACCGTGACGCGGGCGGCAGGTTTTTTTTACCACACATCCTAAGTGGGGTTGGTGATTTCTTTCGGACACTCAGCGCAGAAACAGGAACAGGAACCCACCCACATCATCATCATCATCATCATCATCATCATCATCATCATCATCATCATCATCATCATCATCATCATCATCATCATCATCACCACCGTCTGTCGTGAAGACGGCTTGGAGGGCCCTGGGAGCTTCGCTGCAGTGTTGAGTCAGTTGCTTCACGTTTTGCGCTGGGAGGCGCGGGTTGAGTATGTCGCGGGTCCGGCGCGTCGCGCACCGTGCCCGGGACATATTGCTCTCGGCGCCTCCTGCCATGAAGAGTGCAAGTCTTCATGAGCACATGGAGCCAAACACAGTTTAATAGAAAAGGTCTTACACATTGCTCCCTTAACTGTTGACAAAAACAGGCTGCCCCTCGCCGAGAGCTTTAAGACGCAAGGAACATGTCACGAATTTCGGTGCTTCTGAGGTCTCGGCGCGGTCTTTCTCCGCAGTGCAACAGGTGAGCATGAAGTGGCACGGAGTGGGTGGTGTGGGATGGGGTGCAGGAGGTGCTCATCCGTAGCCGTCCTCTCAAACATCAGCATCTCAGGGAGTTTGCTTGCTCGCTTTCGCCAAAGTGGCAAGTATCCTTGACGTGCTGTTGGGTTTGGGGGCTTCGCAAGATGCGACGACGTCGATATGTGATTCCCTCAAGAGGGAAGGTGCCGTTTCCGTCGTTGATCTTGCGTATTGTGGTGATCTACTAGCCAGTATGCTGCAGGCGGCAGTGGGTCTTGAGCGTTGCAGGTTGGTTCAGGCAGCAGCGCAGCAGACTGGAGGTTGTCGTAACGGCTGGGGGCGCCTACAATCTCGGGCATCCTTGTCCGAAGGCGATCGCCCAGCTCCGCCACCAGCTGCGCCAGCTCGTCCATCTAAACAGGCTCGGCCGCTACAGGTCGAAACAGTTCGCCGGCGACACCGTAAGCTGTCTCAACGCCTGGCATTGGGGCAAAGCCTAGTCCCTCCGCGTGCGGTTAAGACGTACGCAGCACAGCAGGCGTCTCAGCTGGAGAGGGTCATGGTGAGGTTCGAGGAGTTCTTCAAACAGTATGGCTCGGAGACTGCCCGTTTCCAAGGTTTTATTGACCTGCGTGTACGGCAGGCGCGGCTGATCTACAGCGCGAGGTGTACAGGTCAGGCAGCCGCTCTGTGCGGGTGATGTCCGGCCGCCTGTCCACGTCTAAGTTGTATTTCAGTACCATGGCGTCTCAGGGCGTGGATCCACTGCGGCCGTCGCAGTAGGAAGTGGCAGCGTGGGTCAAGGCTACAGCGGATGATAAGAATCCCAGCGCCTCATCAAGGGCTCGTTGGGCTATCCCGTGGATAGAGGATGTCTTTGGTGTTCAACTTCGTTCCACTTCGCCACCAGTCAGGCGGCAAGGCACAGCGAGGGGACCTGGTACACCCAAATTACCGCCCACGCCGGCCCTGCTCCCAGGTGAGGATATCATTATGGGCCTTGAGCAACAGATATCTTCAGCCCCTACGCCGGCTCTTAGGTCCACGGCTGGGGTGTGCACGGCAGCAGCTCACATGTCAGGCCGGGCAGCCGATATCTTCAGGTCGAGGGACATCGGCCGCACAGCTGGTTCCATTCACGGGCTGGCGCTCAACAAGGGCAGCGGGCGGTGCATTCCGTGGGCCGCACGCCGGTGCGGTTTCACGGTAGACGATTCGACAGGCCTGTTTCTGTCGGAATTGTCGCGGCAAGGTCTGCCAGGTGAAGACTTCGTCGCCTATGGAGTGTCGGATGGTTGCTCTTGTTTTCTTACCCGGATAGCCGAGCATTCAGATTTGAATCGTTCTTATCGTCAGTTGTTGATATTGCCTCTCATCGGCAAATCTGATGAAGAAGCAGCGCAGTTCACGTTTCATGGGCGTCGGCACTATTACCCGACAGCGAAGACTCAGATGGACGCTGGCCGAGCAGCTCTTGAGGATATGGGCCGCGGGCCACGGGCTCCCAGATGCCGAAGATGTACGCGCACTACGCGTGTTTCTGTGTTGCATCCTTTTGCAATGGAGCCGTTGCCAGTTTGGCTGGGCCTCGACGAATTCATATTCAGGATGCGCGATTGGAGCAGAAGCACATGCAAATTGCAGCACGGAAAGGTGACGCGTTAAGTCCGGGGCGGGATGGGGGGGTCGGTCCCCGTATTTTTATGGAACAAGGCAACCCGCACTTTACAATGCATGTGGCGCGCAGTCTATGCGGGGCAGCTGGCGTGCTGCAGTCTGCGCGGTGCAATCTACGTGGTGCAACCCACTCTGCTGAACTTGAAGTCATCATCTCCACTGCTCGAGCAAACCTCCCACCCGCCCACCCGCAACTTGGTTTGCAAAACCTCTTAAGACCGACTACGGCGACACCGGCGACAACGACGACGACGACACCGACGACGACTTCGACGACGACACCGACGCCGACGACGACGAAGACGACGACGACGACGACGCCAACGAAGACTCCGACGAGGGAGGAGGAAGGACGACGACGGCGACAACGACGACAACGACGACAACGACGAGGGAGGAGGGAGGACGGCGACGACGCGAACGATGAAGAAGGAGGAAGGACGGCGACGCCGACGACGACAACGACGAGGGAGGAGGGAAGACGACGACGACAACGACGACGACGACGACGGCGACGAAATAGGAGGGACGACGACGAGACGCCGACGACGAACGACGACGACGACGACGGAGGAGGAGGAAGGAGGACCACGGCGACAACGACGACGGAAACGACCACGACGCCAAAGATGACGACGACGACGAACACGAGGAAAGACAGAGGACGACGTAGGCGACGACGACGACGACGCGGGAGGAGGGAGGACGGCGACGACGACGACGACGACGACGACGAAGCAACAGCGCGCGCGCACGCTTTTGTTGAAAATGCGTGTTGCGAAATCTTGGGTTTTTGTGCGTTTTTGGGACACACGATTTTGAAATCCTTCCGAAGCCGACGGTTTTTGAAGGTTTTCGGCATACGCGCGCGACGACGCGCGCGTCTGCACTTCGTCCCATCTGTTGCAGAGGATTCTCGCGACGGCAGAGGCGCAAGGGCGTTCGACAGATTTCGACATGCGCGCGCGCGAAGCCCGTTTAATAGCATGTTGTGAAAATCTTGAAAACCTATGGTTTTCTGAAGATTTCACAAGAGCTCGCGCGGAAGCTTTTTTAGCAAATCAGTGTTGCGAAACCCTGTGTTTTTTGTATGTTTTTGGTGGAATTCGAATGCGAAATCCTTCCGGCACCAACGGTTTTTTTCATGCTTTCGGCGTTCGGCATGCGCGCGCGACGACGCGCGCGTGTGCATTTCGTCTTTTTTTGGCAATGGATTCTTAAAGTGTTATGTTAGAACGAAAAATGTCACCGCATAGTTTTACAAGGGAACCTCAGGGGGGGGGAACCCGGCTGGCCTGGGATAGTGTAAATTCATATTTCGGATGGACCTGTGGTCAGAATCGTATATGATTTACATACCCGAAAGGGGGGGCGATAACGCCCGGGGGGGTAGATTCTATTCTGTTCTTAGAAGAGTTGATCTTTACCCATGATTTGACACATCCCACGTTCTTGCAAAAATCCCACCCACCCACCCACAACTTGGTCTGCAAACCCCCATAAGACCGACTACGACGACAACGGCTACGACGACACCGACGACGTCTCCGACGACTTCGACGACGACAACGACGCCGACGCCGACGACGAAGACGACGACGACGATGACGCCAACGAAGACTCCGACGAGGGAGGAGGAGGGACGACGACGGCGACAACGACGACAACGACGACAACGACGAGGGAGAAGAGAGGATGGCGACGACGCGAACGACGAAGAAGGAGGAAGGACGGCGACGCCGACGACGACAACGACGAGGGAGGAGGGAACACGACGACGACAACGACGACGACGACGACGGCGACGAAATAGGAGGGACGACGACGAGACGCCGACGACGGACGACGACGACGACGACGGATGAGGAGGGAGGACGACCACGGCGACAACGACGACGGAAGCGACCACGACGCCAAAGAGAACGACAACGACGAACACGAGGAAAGACAGAGGACGACGTAGGCGACGACGACGACGGCGACGCGGGAGGAGGGAGGACGGCGACGACGGCGACGCGGGAGGAGGGAGGACGGCGACGACGACGACGACGACGACGACGACGACGACGCAAGAGCGCGCGCGCACGCTTCTGTTGAAAATCCGTGTTGCGAAACCTTGTGTTTTTTTCTACGTTTTTTGGACACGATTTTGAAATCCTTCCGAAGCCGACGGTTTTTGAATGTTTTCGGCATACGCGCGCGACGACGCGCGCGTCTGCACTTCGTCCCATTTGTTGCAGAGGATTCTCGCGACGTCACACGCGCAAGGGCGTTCGACAGATTTCGACATGCGCGCGCGCGAAGCCCGTTTAATAGCATGTTGTGAAAATATTGAAAACCTATGGTTTCCTGAAGATTTCGCAGGAGCTCGCGCGGAATCTTTTTTAGCAAATCAGTGCTGCGAAACCCTGTGTTTTTTGTATGTGTTTTGGGAACTCGATTGCGAAATCCTTCCGGCACCAAAGGTTTTTTCATGATTTCGGCATGCGCGCGCGACGACGCGCGCGTGTGCACTTCGTTTTTTGGGGCGATGGATTCTTAAAGTGTTACGTTAGAACAAAAAATGTCACCGCATAGTGTTTTTTACAAGGGAATCTCAGGGGGGGAACCCGGCTGGC